GGTTTCTATTAACTCTAAAGGTTTAATTTAGGTTTATTGATCTTGAACATGTGGTAATAGGAAGCTACTTTCTTGTTTGGTGAATTTTGGATCAAGCCTTAACTTTATCATAGGGTGTTGAAGTGTGATAAGTTGAGATATTGAGTTTTATGTTGTGATAGAGTTAGAAAGAGACTTAAAGGGATGAAGTGAACAAATTCTAATCTTAACAAGCCTCTTTATTGAGAATTTGAGTGAGAAGTGGGAGAATTGGGAGGTTATTATTAGCTAATGATGCTTGTGTTAATTAAAAATTAACATATAATACTTGTTGATGTAGATTATGATGTGGGAAGACTTACCTTAACACAAGAAGAAATTTAGTACCACGGGTAACCCTTTTAGTAATAAAAGGGTTGAGATAATTAGATAATTTGCATTGTTTATTACCTTGTATAAGTTATTCTCAAGTTGCTTTTCTATGAATTGTTGAGTATATATGTATTAATTCCTTAAAGGTTAACTATTTTAGAAAATGAGTGGAGTATTACTTTGTGAAATTCTATATTTTTAAAGTAACTGGTAAGGTTTTGTTATATTTGTTTAGAAAGTTGTTTATGCATGTTCAAGTAGAGATATGTAGTGAAATGTGGCATATTAGAGGGTGGGAGGTCACCTTAGTGGAGATAGTGAAGATTTAAGTTCATATCGCATTGCTAGCACCTCGGGATGCCAGGTGCAACATTTACTCTCCTTAGTGCCCAAAAATGGGTACGGTGTTAGAGACTTACTCTCCTTAGTACCCAAAAGGGTGCGGAGTTAGAGACTATGCTCCTTAGCATCCGTAGGATGCGGTGTTAGAGTAACAACACCCCAATTACTTGTAATAGGGGGAAACAGTAGTCCGAAAGTGGTTTAGGACACCTTGGCCGGGTAGTCCTACCATAGATGGTGAGCTTGGAGACCATACATGTGGTTTGGTTCTGTGAAATAGCTTACTGGTTCGGTGATAGAACACATTTGTTACCCACTTTTATTTGTCAATTAGGACCATTTTATTAATGATTTATCACCTTCAAGTGCACACATTGCATTAGATTTGGAACTTTGCCTAAGTTTCTAGGTTCAGTACACTAGGGGCATTTTGGTCCAAAAAATAAACTTTTGAGAAAATGTACAAGAAAAATTGACAAAGTGCATTTTATGTCCAGTTGATGAATGGTGAAATTATATTTTTAAAATTCATTTTAGTTTGGGAGTAATTAAATAAAAAAAGTCAACACTTTCTTTAGTGTCTTAGTTTGTCCTAGTTTTTGGTTTGCCTTTGTGTGGAAATTTTTATATAATTTTGTGCAGCCTGAAACTTGGTTAATTTAATAAATTCTCCTTCTAATTATGAATTTAATTCTGGACATGAATTAGATTTTATTATATCATATGCTATTTAATTGAATTATGTGATTTATGTGACATAGGTGGCATGTGACTTGTGCATCAATTGGGCAATTGAGGTCAACACTCCTTGAGGTCAATGGCTGATGGTTTGCACGTGAATTATGATTATTTTGAGGGATTAGATCAGCTAAAATGATGTGGATGACACATGGGAAATTAGGCACACATTGGAATCATCTACAAACCAATAGGAAGTTGCCACCTTGCAAGTGTGACAAGGCTCCCATTTACATTTTAATTTCTTTTTCCTTATTTTAATTAAGCTTCAGCTGATGGGAGACACCAAGGAGCACGCCATTTTAAGTCCCAAATGGGATCCAACACATATCTCATTCATCTTCCACATTCTCTCTCTCTTGTTCATAGTGTTCTTCATTTTCTCTCTTTGTTCTTCATTTTCCAGCACCCTAACCTCCATTTTCAGCCACCAAACCTCCACAAAACTCATACCATTCTTCTCCTCTCTTCATTTTCGTTCCATCCCTTCCATTTTCACAAGGATTGAAGCTCATTTCCATCATTCAAGAGCTATGGAGTTTGGCCTTCACAAGCAATCACTAGGGTTCTTGAAGATGAAGATTGGCTAAGTTTCTTTGTGGAATCCTAGAGAGATGAAGATGGAGGATGAGTCTTGAGCTTCAAATTGGCTAAGTTCTTTTGTTTCCTATCCTCTTCTCTTTTTACTAGATGGTTAGATTCCTTAATCTAGGGTTTAATCATCTTAGCTTATAAATTCTAATTTGAATTTGATGTTGATGTAAAGAGAGAGGATTGTTTCATTTAATTTCTTCCTTGGACAGCCATGACTGAATTTTGCCACTCTTTGTTTGGCACATAATCTTGTGTTTTTCAATTAGTGAATTTCTTGTGTTAATATTGCATAATCTTGTGGTGTTAATGCTTGTGTTGTTGAGTAGCTTGACATAATCTTGTGGTTGCTCAATTTATGTGTTTGACCATGGCTGTTGAGAGAGGATTTTGAGTGAATCACTTGGCTAATGTCTTCACCAATTGGTTAATTGAACTAGGGACTTTAATCTAAGACCTAGGAGGTTAGCTAATTAGGTTAATTGGCTTGGATAATTTTCTTAAGTCATGACAGCTTTAGTCAAGAGGAAAGGGAAGCTAAACTTAGCCTAATCATGAGAAGATAATGAGTCCAAAATCAACTAATCTCTAGGGTTCCATTATTGAAAAGGGAAGTTCATTTCACTCACTTTCACTAGCATTTTAATTACTTGCACATTAGGTAATTAGTTTAGATAATTAGCTAGGTAACTAAATTCCTACAAACTTTGGTTGATTTATTTCACTAGATAACTTTCAATTAGACTTAAAACCATTCCTTGGGAGATGACCTAGGGTTGGCCCTATATTGCATTAGGGTTAGCTTTAGTGTAATTTTGAGGATAAGCGACTAATTTTCTATCAAAATTTTGGCGCCGTTGCCGGGGAATGGTTTAAGTTTAATTCTAAGGTTGTTTAGTACTTAATTTACTTTTTAGTGTTCCTAGAAAATTTTTTGAAAAATTATAAAAATTTTGTTTTGTGTTTTGTTTAGTGTTTTTTGTGTGTTTTGAGTGTTTTTATTCTGTTTTGAAAAAGAAAAAAAAATTAGTGCAATTTTCGTTGGTTTGGTGTAGAGCTGAAAATACTCTGTTTCTAGTGTCTCTGTCTGAAATTGAAAAATTAACTGGGAATGAGTCTGAGGGAATTTGAACTTGAAATTTATTTCATTGAAAGCTCTATATCTTAGCTTCACTTTAAAATTGGTTTGGTCAATTTTGGACGTGGGAAGTGTCCTGTGGAAATTTTACAATCTAACAAGGTCCAGGGAGCCATTACAGAGGATTCCCAAAACCCTGTTTCAACTTTGAGTTAGCATATCTTCCTCTTTGTGCGTTCAAATTGATTGATTCCAGTTTCATTTTTCTTATCACTGTCTTATCTTTTTTTCTTGTGTTTAGGATTTTCTTCAATTTTTCCATTTTCCTATTTGAAAGTTTGTTAGAAGCTCTGAAGGTCTTCTGGACGAAATCCTGTTTCTCCAGACCTGAGGACCAACTTGTGAAAAATTCTGGGAACGATTGGAAGGATTTTTAATCTGAAAGTTTTATATAATTTTCCTGTATATCTCTTGTGTTTCTCATAAAAGTTTCAGGGGAATTTATCATGTGGATTTGCTGATAGAAATTCACAAGTTCACTGTCTCCAGAGAGCCTACTGTGCGAATTCCAGAATTGCCAAAGCTTCTTGATTGAGCATTTCTAACTCTCTTTCTACTTGTTTGGTGTTATTTTTTTTTCATTTTGTTGCTATTGAGTATATTAAAAAAAAAAAAAAAAATTATTTCTCTTGCTTTTGTGTGTTTTGAATTGTTTCGTGTTGATTTGCATTTTAGTTTAGCTTGTTCTTTGTTCTTAATTTTCTTGAGCTTGATTAGTGCATGACCCGAAGAAAACATACCTCTTTTGTTGAATTAGATCCAGAAATTGAAAGGACTATTTCTAGATTGAGAAGATCACAACCTATTCTTGATTCTCATTTGGTTTGTAATTCAACAATGGAAGGTATCTTAGGACATGAGCATGTGCATAATGAGGGCCATGGGAATGGGAATGAGAATTTGCATGATGATGGCCATGTTAATAATGAATTTGAAGGCTTGCATAACCCTAGAGAGGAGAGGAGCATTAGGCAATTAACTCAACCTAATTGGCATGATAATCCTTATGGCTTATATGTTCCTCCTACTAATGTTCAATTTGAAATTAAATCCTCTTTGATTAATGCATTGCCTAAATTTCATGGGTTACCGGGAGAGGATTGCCATAGGTTTTTGCATACTCTCCTATTGGTTTGTGATACTATGAAGCCTATGCATGTAAATGTTGATGATGTTCAAGCTAAGGCTTTTGTATTTTCTCTTGAAGGTTTAGCAAAGGAGTGGTATTTCAACTACCCTTCTTATGTGAAAGTAAGCACATGGGCCGAGCTAAGAAGACTCTTCTTAGATAAATTCTTTCCAAATTCCAAGGTCACCAATTTGAGGAAGCAAATCTATGGGGTCCAACAAGGAGAGGATGAGAGTCTCTATGAGTATTGGACTAGATTCCAAGGCCTTTTGGCTAAATGCCCACACCATCAAATTTCTAGTGAGAATTTAGTCCAATATTTCTATGAGGGCTTGATTCCAAGAGACAAAGTTAACATTGATGCCGCTAGTGGTGGATGCTTGATTGACCTCACTTCCTTAAAGGCTTGGGAACTAATTGACAAGATGGCTTCAAGTGGTGCTCAATACTCTACAAGGGAAAAGAGAAATGTGAATATGGTAGGTTCCTCAATTCTTAATGATTCATATGTGGACTTGCTAGCTGCCAAGATTGGGAGAATGTTGGCTCCACAAATATCTCAAGTGAGCAATGTAAGTACTTCTCAAGCACTTGTCCCTTATTCTTGTACTTTTTGTGACTCACCTATGCATGTAGAAAGCAATTGTCCTATTAAGTTTGAACAAGTAAATGCTATCTACAATGGAAAACAATCCTATGGTGGGAGGCAAGGGCAAGGAGCTTATTCTAATACTTACAACCCTTCATGGAGAGACCATCCTAATTTCTCCTATTCAAATCCAAATGTGGCTTTACAAGACAATCAACAAAGAGGATCCTATCAAAACACCTTTGGCCGTGACCCTCCACCTCATTTGTCTCAAGGTAGCTCTTCTCAAAGCTACAATCCAAGTGGTAATTCTCTTGCACCTTCATCTAATTCTTATAGTGATAGGAGGCTTGTTCCAATTGAGAGTTCTTCTAATTCAAACTCTTCTAATGATGTGAATGTGTTACGTAAGCAGTTGATTGAAATGAACTCCTTGTATAAAAACATGTATGATGGCTTAGGGAACAAGGTAGAGAGTATGGGTAACAAGTGTGAGAACATGAACTCTAAAATTGATGCCCTTACTTCTCAAATGAATATGCTTGCTAACCAATTAAGTGCAGCCAATGCTCAAGCCTCTACATTACCATCCAACACCGTTGCTAATCCTAAAGCTAATCTTAATGCTATCACATTGAGGAGTGGCAAGGAGTTGGGAGAAAGAGTACAAGAAGACAAAAGACAAGGGAAGGCCGAGAAGCCCTCTTTAAATTCTTCAATTGATGTTAATGTTTCTAGTTCTTCTTTTGCTCCTAATGATGCATCTTTTTGTAGAGATGATGAGGATGAAAACATTGAGGAGATCATATGTGAGCAACCACCATCTAAGGTGAAAAAGGGGACTATGGCCGAGTTGTTTAGTAAGGAAAAAGAGGGAGAGGCCGAGCAAAGTGAAACAAGAAAGGAGAGTTCAAGGAAGGAAGAAGGAAAGCAAAGTCAAGAGATTATGAAGAAGCTTCCTTTTCCACAAGCACAAGTGGTCCCTAAGCAAGTAAAGGGACAATTTGATCAAGAGGTATATGATTTCTTCCATAAGATTCATGTTAATGTACCCTTGATGGATGTAGTTAAGAACTTTCTAAGTATGCCAAATTTTTGAAAGATTGTTGTACAAATAAAAGAAAATTTAGGCCTAATGCAAGGGTACAATTACCCTCATCTGTGAGTGCTATCATGAAGCCTCAACTCCCTATAAAATGTGAGGACCCTGGTTCCTTCACAATTCCATGCAAGATTGGCAACACACATTTTTCTCATGCATTGATAGACTTAGGTGCAGCCATTAATGTTATGCCTCTTTCAATTTATCATGCCTTGAGTCTTGATTGCATGCATAAGACACCTATGATATGCCAATTAGCGGATAGAAGTGTTAGAAGACCACATGGAGTAGTAGAAGACTTGTTGGTTTGTGTTAAAGGTCTATTATTTCTGTGGATTTCTATGTGCTTGATATGTCAAAAGAAGGGAGTGGGGATGATATTTTGATTTTAGGAAGGCCATTTATGAGGACTGCCCGTACATTGATTGACATGGAAAAAGGTAGTTTGATTTTGAAATGTGGAGAGGATCATGTTATTTTTAATATATATGAAGCAATGAAACATCCTTTTGAGGATTATTCTTTGTTAGGTGTAAGTTCCATTGAGTTATTGCTTCATGATGCTTGTGAGTCTCACATGCTTGATTCTTTCTCACATGTTGATGATGATTTGTCTCTTGTTACTACTACATGTATTGATGGATGTAGTTGTCCTATTTGTTTAGAGATTGATGCATGCTTGAATGATGCAACTACTTCTTCTCATGATTTGTTTAAAATATCTCCTATGCTTGATCTTGAAATGCTTGAGAAGGGTATATCTTCTTGTGTTGTAGGTACTAAAGCCATTAAGGCCGAATCTATGAGTTTTTCTCCACTCGAGCTTGATGTTCTTAGGATTCCCAAGCTATTGGAGGAAAATTCTACACTTTCACATGTCGAGGCCGTGGCTCAAGTCCAAGCACTTGAGGACAAGTTGCAAGAAAAGGGGGAGGCTGTAAAGAAAGAAGAGGAGAAATCAAAAACAAGTGAGAAGCCTAAAAGACAAGATAGTACCATGGAATATTCCACCAAATTAGACTTGAAGAAGCTCATTCCCTCTTGTGTAGAGCCACCTACCTTGGAGTTGAAGCCTTTACCATCCAATCTCAAGTATGCATATCTCATTGAGAATGAGAAGCTTCCGGTAATAATTTCTAACTCTTTATCTCTTGAGGAAGAAAATGCATTACTTGATGTGTTGAGAAAGAACATACATGCTATTGGTTGGACTTTGGCTGACATTCCTGGTATTGACCCTATTGTGTGCACACATAAAATTTTTCTTGAGGACAATGCTAAGCCCATTAGGCAACCACAAAGGAGACTTAACCCATTGATTTTAGATGTGGTAAAGAAAGAGGTTGTTAAGCTACTTAGTGCTGGGATCATCTATCCTATAGCTGACAGTGAGTGGGTGTCTCCAACCCAAGTTGTACCTAAGAAAGGGGGGATTACTGTGGTAAAAAATGAGAAAGGAGAGCTTGTTCCAACTAGAGTTCAAAATGCTTGGAGAGTGTGCATAGACTATAGGAAGCTCAATAATGTGACTAGGAAGGACCATTTTCCTTTGCCTTTTATTGATCAAATGCTTGAGAGATTGGCTTCCAAGTCCCATTATTGCTTCCTAGATGGGTTTAGTGGGTATTTTCAGATTCCCATAGCTCCTAGTGACCAAGATAAGACTACCTTTACATGCCCTTTGGTACATTTGCCTATAGGAGGATGCCTTTTGGTCTTTGCAATGCACCTGGTACTTTTCAAAGATGCATGATGTCCATATTTTGTGATTTTATTGAACATTGCATGGAAGTCTTTATGGATGATTTTACTGTGTATGGTGAGTCCTTTGATTCATGCTTGCATTCTTTAGATAAAGTGCTTGGTAGGTGCATTGAAAAGAAGCTTGTGCTTAACTTTGAAAAATGCCATTTCATGGTAGATAAAGGAATTGTTTTAGGCCATTTGATTTCTTCCAATGGCATAGAGGTGGATAAGGCCAAAGTAGATGTGATTGCTTCTTTGCCATATCCTGTTTGTTTGAAAGATTTGAGATCATTTTTGGGACATGCAGGCTTTTATAGGAGATTTATAAAGGGGTTTAGTGAAATTGCTTTGCCTATGTCTAAACTCTTACAAAAAGATGTTGATTTTGTTTTTGATGATGCTTGCAAAAGGAGTTTTGACACTTTGAAAAGCATGCTCATTTCCCCTCCCATTCTTAAAGCCCCAAATTGGTCTTTGCCTTTTGAGTTGTCATGTGATGCTTCTAATTTTGCTGTGGGAGCTATGCTTGGTCAAAGAGAGGGCAAGTTATCATATGTGATTGCTTATGCATCTAGGACCCTAGATTCAGCTCAGGTTAATTACACCACAACTGAGAAAGAGTTGTTTGCTATTGTTTTTGCACTTGATAAGTTTAGATCATATCTTCTTAACTCTAAAGTTGTTGTGTACACTGACCATGCTGCTGTGAGGTACTTGTTTAAGAAGACAGATTCTAAGCCTCGCTTGATTCGATGGGTGATCTTGATGCAAGAATTTGATGTGGAGATAAGGGATAGGAGTGGTTCTACCAATCAAGTAGCGGATCATTTGTCTAGACTACCTCATTTAAAAGCTACTATGGTAAACTCTAACCCTACTATTCCTTGTGATTCATTTCCTGATGAGGCATTGTGTGCCATTTCATCTAAGCCTCCATGGTATGCCTCTTTTGCTAACTATATTGAGTGTGGAGTCTTGCCTCCTTGTGCTTCACGTTTTGCCATTGAAAAATTAAAAAGAGAGTCTAGATTTTACATTTGGGAACCACCTTTGATGTGGAAGATTTGTAGTGATAAAGTGATTAGGAGGTGTGTTGATGATGTTGATGTGCCTTCTGTTCTTGAATTTTGTCACTCTCATGCATGTGGTGGTCATTTTAGCTCAAATAAGACAGCTAGGAAGGTTTTAGATTGTGGATTGTATTGGCCTAGCTTGTTTAAAGACTCTTATAAATTTTGTAAAGCATGCTTGAAATGTCAAAAGGTTAGTAGTTGGGGTAAGAGACATGAAATGCCTCAACAACCCATTTTATTTTGTGAGATTTTTGATGTTTGGGGCATTGACTTCATGGGTCCCTTTCCACCATCCTTTAGTTTTGAGTACATATTACTTGGTGTTGATTATGTTTCAAAGTGGATTGAAGCCATTCCTACTAGAACTTGTGATGCTAAGATTGTTTTGAAGTTTCTCAAATCTAATATTTTTTGTAGGTATGGAGTTCCTAAGGCCTTGGTAAGTGACCAAGGATCCCACTTTTGCAACAAGATGATGAAGGCTCTCTTAGCTAAATATGGAGTGCATCACAAAATCTCTACACCGTATCATCCCCAAACTAATGGCCAAGCCGAAGTATCAAATAGAGAAGTCAAGAAGATCCTAACCAAGGTGGTGAACACAAATAGGAAGGATTGGTCTTTACACTTAGAGGATGCTTTGTGGGCTTATCGGACCGCTTATAAGACTCCCATTGGCATGTCTCCTTTTCGATTGGTATATGGAAAGGCTTGTCACCTCCCTGTGGAGATAGAGCATAGGCCTATTGGGCCATCAAGAAACTCAACTTGGATTTCCATCTTTCGGCTAAGGAGAGATTTCTTCAAATGCAAGAACTTGAGGAGCTTAGGTTGGATGCCTATGAGTCTTCTAGGATCTATAAGGAGAAAACAAGGATCCTTCATGACAAGCTAATCTTGAGGAAAAAGTTCCAAGAAGGAGATCAAGTCCTCTTGTTCCAAACAAGGTTTATTCATAAGCATGCCAAGTTGAAGTCTAAGTGGGAGGGACCATATCTAGTGACCAAGGTGTTTCCCTATGGGGTTTTGCAACTCTTGAATAAAGCCACGGGTTCCACCATGCAAATCAATGGTCACCTATGCAAGCTCTACAAAGATGCCAAATCACTTCAAAAGGAGGAGGACTTCTCTCAACATGTTTTTGAACCACCATGATAAGGTTGTATCTCTCCAACCTTGAGCTTTTACTTTCCTTTAATTGATATATTTAATGATAGGTATAGTTCAAGTGTGGGGGAGATGAACCTAGTAGGAAAATTAGAGTTTATTTGCTTTATTTGACTTCTTTGTCTTGTGTTTTAGTTTGAAAAAAAAAAATCTGCAACACACTTTTGTTATGCATTCATTATTGATCTCACCTTATTTTATCACTAGTCTATACATACATTGAGGACAATGCATGATTTAAGTGTGGGGGAGAGAAATAAACATTTTGTTTTGTTTGTTTGGTTTTGTTTTGTTTGTTTGGTTTTGCAAAAAAAAATTAAAAAAATTGCTTTGTTTTGTTTTGTTTGAGGTTACTTAATTACCTAGCTCTTGAATGGATATTTTGATTCTTGAGATGTGGTAATTTTTAGGATTGAATAGGTGTGAAGTGAATATTTTTTACCTTGAATTAATGGATTAGAGTGGCATATTACCCTTTCATGGAAGAGGCTAAACACTCATGTGTGATTAATTCCTTAGTGATGTTACCCTCTAGAATTTGTTTCACTTCTTAATTAAGACCACATATCTCACACTTGTTTGATAGGAGATGAGAGATGGCATTCATAAAAAATAGCCAAAAGCCAAATAGCCAACCTATTATCATTTATTATCCTTTGTTAGCCACTTTGAGCCTTTGGTTTGATTCTTAAAAAATATATATATATATATATTCACCCTATTTTTCCCAAGGAATGCATGTTACACTTTTATATGTCTTTTTAATATTCATTGCATGTCCTAGATCAAATGAGTGGATGCCTATTATTATTTTTCTATCCATTACTCTTTATCCTTTATTGTTACACCATTACATCCATTACTTCTATTGTTTTCAAAGAGTTAGGGGCAACCAAAAAAAAAACAAAGATAGATTTGAAAAAAAAAATATAGTAAAAAAGAAAAGAAATAAAGTTGCTAGAAAAAGAAACAAAAAGAAGAAGAGAAAAAAAAAAAGAAAGAAAGAAAAAAGTTGCCTAGCTCATCCATTCCATTTGTTTTATTATTTCTTATCATTTCTTTCCATCCTCATTGTGTTAAGGTGTTCACTCAATTGAGTTAGGTTATGCTTTGCATATTAAGGGGATATATCTTGATTTAGCATTATTTTGATGCTAACCCTATTTTTTATATATATGCATTTCTTAGACATCCTTTCATTACCTATATCACAACCTAATAAAGTCCATTTGATTCTTGATTGCAAGTGCTATTTAGTGATGGAGATGTAGAAGGGTTACAAATTTATAGTAGGGTTTATCCTAAGAAATTTTGAGTGAAATTTAATACCTTATACACTTTGAGTGATGAGAGCAAACACTTAACCTAGAGAGGCTTACTCTTTGACATTGATTCTTGGTAAGGGTTTGTTTGTGATGTGCATAATTCTTTCCTAATTATTGCCACATTGATTGATAATTTGTAGAAGTTCATGAGCTAGTATTTTAGTGACTTGAAACAATGTTTTTCTCTTATTTTTTTTGTCTTATAGTTTCTTTTGGGACCTTTTTCACTTGATTTTGCCCGGAGTGCAAAAGCTAAGTGTGGGGGAATTGATAGAACACATTTGTTACCCACTTTTATTTGTCAATTAGGACCATTTTATTAATGATTTATCACCTTCAAGTGCACACATTGCATTAGATTTGGAACTTTGCCTAAGTTTCTAGGTTCAGTGCACTAGGGGCATTTTGGTCCAAAAAATAAACTTTTGAGAAAATGTACAAGAAAAATTGACAAAGTGCATTTTATGTCCAGTTGATGAATGGTGAAATTATATTTTTAAAATTCATTTTAGTTTGGGAGTAATTAAATAAAAAAGTCAACACTTTCTTAAGTGTCTTAGTTTGTCCTAGTTTTTGGTTTGCCTTTGTGTGGAAATTTTTATATAATTTTGTGCAGCCTGAAACTTGGTTAATTTAATAAATTCTCCCTTCTAATTATGAATTTAATTCTGGACATGAATTAGATTTTATTATATCATATGCTATTTAATTGAATTATGTGATTTATGTGACATAGGTGGCATGTGACTTGTGCATCAATTGGGCAATTGAGGTCAACACTCCTTGAGGTCAATGGCTGATGGTTTGCACGTGAATTATGATTATTTTGAGGGATTAGATCAGCTAAAATGATGTGGATGACACATGGAAATTAGGCACACATTGGAATCATCTACAAACCAATAGGAAGTTGCCACCTTGCAAGTGTGACAAGGCTCCCATTTACATTTTAATTTCTTTTTCCTTATTTTAATTAAGCTTCAGCTGATGGGAGACACCAAGGAGCATGCCATTTTAAGTCCCAAATGGGATCCAACACATATCTCATTCATCTTCCACATTCTCTCTCTCTTGTTCATAGTGTTCTTCATTTTCTCTCTTTTGTTCTTCATTTTCCAGCACCCTAACCTCCATTTTCAGCCACCAAACCTCCACAAAACTCATACCATTCTTCTCCTCTCTTCATTTTCGTTCCATCCCTTCCATTTTCACAAGGATTGAAGCTCATTTCCATCATTCAAGAGCTATGGAGTTTGGCCTTCACAAGCAATCACTAGGGTTCTTGAAGATGAAGATTGGCTAAGTTTCTTTGTGGAATCCTAGAGAGATGAAGATGGAGGATGAGTCTTGAGCTTCAAATTGGCTAAGTTCTTTTGTTTCCTATCCTCTTCTCTTTTTACTAGATGGTTAGATTCCTTAATCTAGGGTTTAATCATCTTAGCTTATAAATTCTAATTTGAATTTGATGTTGATGTAAAGAGAGAGGATTGTTTCATTTAATTTCTTCCTTGGACAGCCATGACTGAATTTTGCCACTCTTTGTTTGGCACATAATCTTGTGTTTTTCAATTAGTGAATTTCTTGTGTTAATATTGCATAATCTTGTGGTGTTAATGCTTGTGTTGTTGAGTAGCTTGACATAATCTTGTGGTTGCTCAATTTATGTGTTTGACCATGGCTGTTGAGAGAGGATTTTGAGTGAATCACTTGGCTAATGTCTTCACCAATTGGTTAATTGAACTAGGGACTTTAATCTAAGACCTAGGGAGGTTAAGCTAATTAGGTTAATTGGCTTTGGATAATTTTCTTAAGTCATGACAGCTTTAGTCAAGAAGAAAGGGAAGCTAAACTTAGCCTAATCATGAGAAGATAATGAATCCAAAATCAACTAATCTCTAGGGTTCCATTATTGCGAAAAGGGAAGTTCATTTCACTCACTTTCACTAGCATTTTAATTACTTGCACATTAGGTAATTAGTTTAGATAATTAGCTAGGTAACTAAATTCCTACAAACTTTGGTTGATTTATTTCACTAGATAACTTTCAATTAGACTTAAAACCATTCCTTGGGAGATGACCTAGGGTTGGCTCTATATTGCATTAGGGTTAGCTTTAGTGTAATTTTGAAGATAAGCGACTAATTTCCTATCATTCGGTCAGGAGTATTGGAGGACCAGATGGTTAGGGATCATGCATGTAAATTTGTGGTGATATTATATGATGTGATTATATTACTTATTTTAATACTTGTTTATAACTTGGCTTGTTAATCAATAATGTAGATTATCTTAGTTACTGAGATTTTTATCTCACCCCGTGGAATATCATTTTACAGGTGCTACCAGTGAGACTGAGCCAGGAAGGGAATCGGGCAGGGGCTAGTATATTTGCTACACTCTTTGTAAAGCCTGATTTTAGTTTGAGTGGTGTACATAAACTTGTTATATGATATTACATGTTGCCAACTAGGAATGCATATCATTTTGATTGGTTGCACTTGTTTTATACTATGTTATTTTGTATTTTAGCCCAATATGGTATGTGATGTGAATAAGCGAGAATTTTTATGGTGATGGGCTAAAATACTAATACAAGTGCAAGGAATGTTTTATCTAAGTGGTGATAATGTATTGATAGTGTATTATGTGGCAATAGAGGCCAAATAGTACTTGTAGTGCTAGTTGTGTACTTTGGCCATATTAGGCAAAATGGCCATTGAGTGGCCAAATTTTGTGTTTGGTATGTTTTTATGTGTTTGATTGGTCACTCAAGTGTATTTTGGTCTATTGGACTTGGTTCAAGCCTCATAATGGATTAATGGTATTAGTTATGAGTTTTGGGTACTTGGATGGTTGAAAATTTCTTTAAAAAACTAACTTTTGCATTTGAGTGTCTAAAATTCTCATACGGTGTCGGATCGAAACAAAACTTGTACCATTAGTTAGCTTATTAAATAAGCTTCGTGTGGGCGCTTACATCACTCTAATCGAATATCGGATGTGAAAATGGCGCGTGTTCGAAGTTCGTCCAAAAAAGTTATCATGACAGCATTGCTGTCATGGATAGGTACGCTGCGGCGCATTTCGTGCAAGCCGCGATGTATGGTACAGCAAGAAAACATGGAATTTTGTGCCACAAGCCATGGCGCACAGACCACGAGCCGCAACACATGGACCAAAACACTCTAAAATGACATTTTTGGCCCTATTTTGAAGTGGTTTGCTTCCCAAAACTTTTCCATGCTTCCAATGTCTATTTAAAACATTAAGTTTGAGCTCAAACTATCAATTTAAAGGTTTTTTATGGGATCCCAAATATTCCACAATTATTTTCAAAAGATTATTAGTTTTAACCCTTATATGGATAATGTGAGCTTAGGAGCAATCTTTGCTCCTAATTATGATTGTTTGATATGATTGTGTGGTGAATTTTGATAATGTCAAGGTGGACATTACAATGAATACATGAGTAAGCATAGATGCTATTCAAGTAAGTTTACAGATGTACTGTATAACTTGTTACACTAATAATGTTTGTGAATTCTTATGTGATAATGTGTATTTGTGTGAAACTTGATGAAATGATGAGTCTTGGCCCCATTTGTGTAAGTTAAGTGGATTTGTGATTTCTGACTATATGGTGAGGCTTAGCCCTATATGTGTAAGTCAAAGGAGTGAAAGTGGAACAAGTATAATTGGGTATGTTATTTTTGTGTGAAATCTCATATAAGACCACAAGTGTGTAATGTGGCATAGAGAGGTCGAAATGTGCTTGAAATGTGTTGAGTATGATATTATGTGCCAATCAAGTGTGTATGGTCCTGTTAGACTTGGCTCAAGGCCTAAAGTGATCTAATGAAACAAAGGATGGAAATTGAACACTTAGGGTGCTCAACTTTGAAAAAAAGTAACTTTTTGCTCCTGGGTGTTGATCGAACACATTTTTTATCCACTTTTATTTGTCAGTTAGGACCCTTTTATTAATGATTTATCACCTTTAAGTGCACATATTGCATTAGATTTAGAATTTTGCCTAATGCTTGATTCAGTGTACTAGGGGTATTTTGGACCAAAAATAAAATTTTGAGAAAATGTACAAAAAAAATTGACAAAGTGCATATTATATCTAATTGATGAGTGGTGAAATTATATTTTTAAATTTTATTTTAGTTTAGAAGTAATTAAATAGAAAATCAATACTTTCTTGAGTGTCTTAGTTTGACCTAGTTTTTGGTTTGCCTTTGTGTGAAAATTTTTATATAATTTTGTGCAATCTGAAACTTATTTAATTTAATAAATTCTCCTTTCTAATTATGAATTTAACTCTGGACATTAATTATATTTTATTATATCATATGCCATTTAATTGAATTATGTGATTTATGTGACAGGTGGCATGTGATTTGTGCATCAATTGGACAATTGAGGTCAACACTCCTTAAGGTCAATGGCTGATCATTTGAACGTGAATTATGATTATTTTGAGGGATTAAATCAGCTTAAATGATGTGGATGACACATAAAAAATTAGGCACATATTAGAATCATCTATAAACTAATAGGAGGGTGCCATCTTTCAAGTATGACAAGGTTCTCATTTTTCTTTTTATTTTATTTTTTCATTTTTTAATTGAGTATTCAGCTGATGGGAAACACTCATTTCATTCATCTTCCACTTTTTCTCTCTCTTGTTCATAGTGTTCTTCATTTTCTCTCTTTTGTTCTTGATTTTCCAGCACTCTAACCTCCATTTTCAGCCACCAAACCTTCACAAAAATCATACCATTCTTCTCCTCTCTTCATTTTCGTTCCATCCGTTCCTATTTCACAAGGTTCTAAGCTCATTTTCTTCATCCCAAGTTCCATGAATTTTAGCCAACAAGCTTCCAACTTAAGGTTCTTAAAGATGATGAAGATTGGCTAATTTCTTTGGTGGAATCCTAGAGAGATGAAGATGGAGGATGAATCTTGTGCTTTAAATTGGCTAAGTTCTTTTATTTCCTATCCTCTTCTCTTTTTACTAGATGGTTAGATTCCTTAATCTAGGGTATAATCATCTTAGCTTGTAAATTCTAATTTGAATTTGATGTTGATGTAAAGAGAGAGGATTGTTTCATTTAATTTCTTTCTTGGACAGCCATGACTAAATTTTTCCACTCTTTGTTTGGCATATAATCTTGTGTTTTTCAATTAGTGAATTACTTGTGTTAATATTGTATAATCTTGTAGTGTTAATGCTTGTGTTGTTGAGTAGCTTGACATAATCTTGTGGTTGCTTAATTTATGTGTTTGACCATGGCTGTTGCGGGAGGATTTTGAGTGAATCACTTGGCTAATTTCTTCACCAATTGGTTAATTGAACTAGGGACTTTAATCTAAGACCTAGGGAGGTTAGCTAATTAGGTTAATTGGCTTAGGATAATTTTCTTCAGTCATGATAGCTTTACTTAAGAGGAAAGGGATGCTAAACTTAGCCTAATCATGAGAAGATAATGAGTCTGAAATCAACTAATCTCTAGGGTTCCACTCTTGTGAAAAGGGAAGTGCATTTCACTCACTTTATTTAGCATTTTAATCATAATTAGTTTAGATATTTAGATAACTAAATTCCGACAACTTTAGATGATTTATTCCACTAGATAACTTTTAATTAGACTAAGACCATTCCTTAGGAGATGACCTAGGGTTGATCCTATATTGTATTAGAGTTATCTTTAGTTTAATTTTGAGGATAAATGACTAATTCCTATCAAAATTTTGGCACCGTTGCTGGGGAGTGGTTAAGGTTTAATTCTAAGATTGTTAAGTGCTTAATTTACATTTTTAGTGTTCCTGAATAATTTTGTGAAAATTATAAATATTTGTGTTTTATGTTTTTCTTAGTGTTGTTGTGTGTTTTGAGCATTTTTATTCTGTTTTGGAGAAAAGAAAAAAAAAATTAGTGCAATTTTTGTTGGTTTGGTGTAGAGCTAAAAATACTCTGTTTCTAGTGTCTCTATCTGAAATTGAAAAATTAACTGGAAACGAGTATGAGGGAATTTGAACTTGAAATATATTTCATTTAAAGCTCTATATCTTAGCTTCATTTTAAAATTGGTTTGGTCAATTTTGGATCCGGGAAGTGTTCTGTGGAAATTTCACAAGCTAACAAGGTCCAAGGAGTCTTTACAAAGGATTCCCAAAACCTTATTGCAACTTTGATTTGGCACATCTCCCTCTATGTGTGTCCAAATTGATTGATTCTGGTCTCATTTTTCTTATTATTGTATTAGATTTATTTCTTGTGTTTAGGATTTTCTTCAATGTTTCCATTTTTCTATTTGAAAGTTTGTTGGAAGCTCTAAAGGTCTTCTAGACAAAATCCTATTTCTCTAGACCTGTGGACCAATTTTTGAACAATTTTGGGAACAATTGGGATAGAGTTTGGATCTGAAATTTTTGTATAATTTTCCTGTATATCTCTTGTACCTCTCATAAAATTTTCAGGGGAATTTCTCGTTTGGATTGGATGATAAGAAATTCACAATTTCACTGTCTCTAGAAAGCCTGTTGCACGAATTCCAGAATTGTTAAAGCTTCTTAATTGAGCATTTCTAACTTTCTTTCTACCTTTTCAATGATTTTTATTTGTGTGATTTTTTTTTATTGAGTTCAAAAAAAATAAGAGAAAAAAAATCACTTGTTTTTGCATTCTAGAGCTTGCTTATGAACCTTGATTAATCATGTTCCCTTGTAGCTATAATTTTACACCTCCTTATCACAATCAATTTCAAGCACAATACAATTTTAACCCACCTCACCAATAAAGAAATAAATATTGTGTGCATTGTGAGTCTCCTTACCATTTTTATTTTGAGTGTCCTTCTCTTGTAGGATATTCATTGCCACAATATGAATACCAAGTAGGAAATTACTGCCAAACAATTAGAGAACTTACATTTACTCAAGACCAAAATGAAAGAAGTCCATATGATTTTCAAGACAATCACTTGTGTCCTATGCAAGAACCATAAGGAACTTCATTCTATCAAGAGGGTTCAATTCAATATGAAGATTCAACAACCCAATAAATGATGAGAAAACTTCAAGATGATCTTGATTCCACGAAGCAATCCATGGAAAATCGCCAAAGAAAAGATCAAATGTTTCAAGAAATGGAAAAATCTCAAGACCCTTTGAAAGCCTTGGATGATATGATAGAGAGACTTACTCAAATCAACAATTCATTTCAAGCTTCACAGGTTTAAGAGTCATCTTGTTTAGGTAACAATTCTCTTACTTTTGTTGAGATTGATTCTTCTTCACATTTGACTTTATCTAATGATGAGCATAATAATTTAAATGATGATGACATAGATGAAGAAATTATAGTCGAATCACTTTGGATATTTGAGCATGAATCATATTGTGAAAAAGTATACCCTTGGGAGAAAAGCACTTTGAGTATACATGACAATTCTCTTGATTTAAATTCAAATATCATTGAAAGTATTGACTCTTTACTTAGTTTGAATAAAGAAAATGAAATGGATGTTGATGGTAGCGATGATGTATCTTGTGTGCTTGAAATTTCAATTCCTTCTTGTGATATTTTTGATAATGCATAGGCACTTATTTCTTCTAACCATGATGTGCTTGAGAAAGGTTGTTTACCTTCTTTTGTAAGTGAATAAAGCAATGTGGCCAAACCATCTATTAATTTCAAGCAGGAACTTGCTCAACTTGAAGAGGCTAATATGCAAGGCTTACAAGAAATTGAGGACAAGTCTCAAGAAGGGGAGAATTTGGAGGACTTAAAGCATGAGGAAATAGAAGTTTAAGGAAATGACTTTGCAAAGCCTAAAGGTAAATTGAGTGATGATGATCTCATGATTGAAGAATTTAGTGATGATCTTTTCTTGTTGTCTAGTATTAATTCATACTCTCATACTTTCATATCTCTTTGTACTTGTTTGAATGATTATAGATGCCAAAATTGTTGTAAAATTAATGAGTACTTAAATGATGATGCCACATCTTCTCATGAATTACTTGATGATAATAAAGTGTCTACTATACTTGAGCTTCATAGGCATGAGAAGGGTATTTTGTCTTGTGATGTAAGTACAAACACTAAAGGAGCCAGTTTTAAAGAATTTTCTCTACTCGAGCTTGATGTCCAAGAGGTTTCCGAGCTATTGAAGGAAAGTTCTACACTTGTGGTACCCTTGGCCGAGCACCCTATTGAAATGCTTGAAGAGGCTGTGGCTCCTACTAAGGATTTGAGCAAGGAATTGAAAATAACTCAAGATGACAAGGAGGTTGGAATTCAAGGAATTGATTTTACAAATTCAAATAGTAATGAGAATAATATTGAATTAATGCTTGATGATTTTGATGATGAGTTGGCTTTGTTTCATAGTACTTGTTCTAATTACCTATTCACTTATGATTGTTCACATGATTCTCCACGCCTTATTTGTTTAGAAATTAATTCATTTGTGTTTGAAAAGAGTAGCACTCATTTACTTGATGAAATAATTGATAATGCATGTTTATGTGAAATTAATCATGAGTGCATTTCTTTGGAACCCAATATGCTTGAGGAAGGGTTCTTTGTTGATTTTATAGGTCCAAATAATGATATGGCCAAGAACCCACATGTACTTAGAGGATTTATCATTGCAATGGAAGAGACCTTGGCTAATCATGAAGATGATCAACTACATGAAGTTATGGAAGATTCCACACCATACATCTTGGAGCCATTACAAATTGATCCCAAGCCTCCACCCAAGATGCTTGGAAAGAAGACCACAATGAGTAGTTTTATGCTACTCGTCAAAGATGAAAATTTCAAATTCAAGAGCTTATGGAGATTTAAATTAGGTTGTATCTTCTTCACCCTTGCTTTTTTACTTTACTTTGCTTTATGCTTTGATTTGTTGATTGAGTAAATTGCAAGTGTGGGGGAGATGAATCTAGTAGGAAAAGATAGAATTTCATTCTTCTTAGTTGTTTGTTTTGTTTAAAAAAATTTTTTGCACCACACTTTTGTTATGCATTTATTATTGACGTCACCTTATTTTTTATCACTAGTCTATACATACATTGAGAACAATGCATGATTTAAGTGTAGGAGAGAGAAATAAACATTTTGTTTTGTTTGTTTAGTTTTGCAAAAATTTTCAAAAAATAAAAAAAAATTGCTTTGTTTTATTTTGTTTGAGGTTACTTAATGACCTAGCTTTTGAATGGATATTTTGATACTTGAGATGTGGTAATTTTTAGGGTTGAATAGGTGTGAAGTGAACATTCTTTTACCTTAAATTAATGGATTAGAGTGGAACATTACCCTTTCATGGAAGAGGCTAAACACTCATGTGTGATTAATTCCTTAGTGATGTTACCCTCTAGAATTTCTTTCACTTCTTAATTGAGACCACATAAGCTTCTGGTTTGATTCTTAAAAAGGTCATATAGCCAAGAGCCAAATAGCCAATCCATTATTAATGATTGTCCTTTGTTAGCCACTTTGAGCTTTTGGTTTGATTCTTAAAAATAAATATTCACCTTATTTTTCCCAAAGAATGCATGTTACACTTTTATATATATTTTTAATACTCATTACATGTCCTAAATCAAGTGAGTGGATGCCTATTATCATTTTTCTATCAATTACTCTTTATCATTTATTGTTACACCATTATATCCATTTTTTTATTGTTTTCAAAGAGTTAGGGTCAACTAAAAGAAAAAGAAAAAAACAAAGCAAGATTTAAAAAAAATATAATCAAAAAGAAAAGAAATAAAGTTGCTAGAAAAAGAAACAAAAAGAAAAAGAAAAGAAAGAAAAGAATAAAAAGTTATCTAGCTCATCTATTCTATTTGTTTTATTAATTCTTGTCATTACTTTCTATTCTCATTATGTTAAGGTGGCCACTCAATTGAATTAGGTTATGCTTTGCATATTAAGAGGATATATCTTGACTTTAGCATTATTTTGATGCTAACCCTATTTTTTTTTCATACATGCATTTCTTAGACATCCTTACATTACCCATATTACAACCTAATAAAATCCATTTGATTCTTGATTGCAAGCGCTATTTAGTGATGGAGATGTAGAAGGTTTACAAATTTATGGTAGGGTTTCTCTTAAGGAATTTTGAGCAAAATTTAATACTTTATACACTTTGAGTGATGAGAGTAAACACTTAACCTAGAGATGCTTACTCTTTGACATTGATTCTTGGCAAGGGTTTGTTTGTGATGTGCATAATTCTTTCCTAATTATTGCCACATTGATTGATAATTTATATAAGTTTATGAGCTAGTATTTTAGTGACTTTGAACATTGTTTTTCTCTTGTTTCTTTGTCTTATAGTTTCTTTTGGGACCTTTTTCACTTGATTTTGCTCGGAGTGCAAAAGATAAGTGGGGGGAATTGCTAGAACACATTTTTTATCCACTTTTATTTGTCAATTATGACCCTTTTATTAATGATTTATCACCTTCAAGTTCACACATTGCATTAGATTTGGAATTTTGCCTAAATTTCTAAGTTCAGTGCAGTAGGGGCATTTTGGTCCAAAAAATAAAATTTTGAGAAAATATTCAAGAAAAATTGATAAAGTAAATTTTATGTTCATTTGATGAGTGGTGAAATTATTTTTTAAAAATTTATTTTAGTTTGGGAGTAATTAAATAAAAAATAACACTTTCTTGAGTGTCTTAGTTTGACCTAGTTTTCGGTTTGCTTTTGTGTGAAAATTTTTATATAATTTTGTACAGCCTAAAACTTGGTTAATTTAATAAATTTTCCCTTCTAATTATGAATTTAATTCTAGACATTAATTAGATTTTATTATATCACATGCCATTTAATTGAATTATGTGATTTATGTGACATAGGTGGCATGTGACTTGTACATCAATTGGGCAATTGAAGTCAACACTCCTTGAGGTCAATGGCTGATAATTTGCACGTGAATTATGATTATTTTGAGGGATTTAATCAGTTTAAATGATGTGGATGACACTTGGGAAATTAGGTACACATTGGAATCATCTATAAACCAATAAAAGGGTGTCACCTTAGAAGTGTGACAAGGCTCCCATTTTCTTTTTATTTTATTTTTTCATTTTTTAATTGAGTATTCAGCTGATGGAAAACACTTAGGAGCACACCATTCAGCCCCCCAATTCAGATCCGACACTCATCTCATTCATCTTCCATATTTTCTCTCTTTTTTTCTTGATTTTCCAGCACTCTAACCTCCATTTTGAGCCACCAAACCTTCACAAAAATCATACCATTCTTCTACTCTCTTCATTTTCATTCCATACCTTCCTATTTCACAAGGTTCTAAGCTCATTTTCTTTATCCTAAGTTCCATGAATTTCAGTCAACAAGCTTCCAACTTAGGGTTTTTGAAGATGATGAAGATTGGCTAATTTCTTTGGTGGAATCCTAGAGAGATAAAGATGGAGGATGAGTCTTGAGCTTTAAATTGGCTAAGTTCTTTTGTTTCCTATCCTCTTCTCTTTTTACTAGATAGTTAGATTCCTTAATCTAGGGTTTAATCATCTTAGCTTGTAAATTCTAATTTGAATTTGATGTTGATGTAAAGAGAGAGGATTGTTTCATTTAATTTCTTCCTTGGACAGCCATGACTGAATTTTGCCACTCTTTGTTTGGCATATAATCTTGTGTTTTTCAATTAGTGAATTACTTATGTTAATATTGTATAATCTTGTAGTGTTAATTCTTGTGTTGTTGAGTAGCTTGACATAATCTTGTGGTTGTTCAATTTATGTGTTTGACCATGGCTGTTGAGGGAGGATTTTAAGTGAATCACTTGGCTAATTTCTTCACCAATTGATTAATTGAACTAAGGACTTTAATCTAAGACCTAGGGAGATTAGCTAATTAGGTTAATTGGCTTAGGATAATTTTCTTAAGTCATGACAGCTTTACTCGAGAAGGAAAGGAAGCTAAACTTAGCCTAATCATGAGAAGATAATGAGTTCAAAATTAACTAATCTTTAGGGTTCTACTCTTGTGAAAAGGGAAGTGCATTTCACTCACTTTATTTAGCATTTTAATCATTAGGTAATTAGTTTAGATAATTAGATAACTAAATTCCTACAACTTTAGTGATTTATTCCACTAGATAACTTTTAATTAGACTAAAACCATTTCTTAGGAGATGACTTAGGATTGACCCTATATTCCATTAGGGTTACCTTTAGTTTAATTTTGAGGATAAGCGACTAATTCCTATCAAGTGTCTAGTTTATAATCAGACCATTAGATTATGTCCAAACTTTCCTCATTAGATAGACTATGTTTCGAGCTTTGTATGAGTACTTGAATCACTCCAATCGAGCATCGAATGTGGAAATAGTGAACAATGGAATTTCATATCAGAAATCTACCATGATAGTAAAATCTAATACATGCACTGCAGTGCATGGTGGCATGTCGTAGCACATGGCACAGAATGTAACCTCTCCCCATACCATTTTGTTACCTCTTCACTAAACTGGTATAAGGACAGGTTAATTCAATCACCACATTCACATACCAAACTGGAGTCAAGGAAAATTATTTTAAACGTTTGGAAACCTAAGACCTCTTTTTAAAAACGGTTTGAAAACAATCTCACATCATATAGTACATAGCAGAAGACAATCACTTGCATTCACATGTTTTAAAACAAAAGAAATAAGACCAAAAGAAGGGCCATGTATCATGGCATGTACCACATGTGCGGTGGTATATGGCATAGAGACACAGGCTCCCCCTGTATGCCATATGTTGCTACATATAGTACTA